TTTTCACTTTCGATCGGTTGTATCTGCGAGTCTTTGATATATCATGCAATTGAATGTTGATGACAAAGCAGTGACAGAAACTGTTTCAACCGGCGAGTCAGGTGGTGTTTTCAATGCCGCAATCAAATGAAGTACCGATGTTCTTTCTTTCATAGAACCAACAAGGCTATTATGGTTCGTCTGTCGCATGGTAGGTGTTATGTCTACGCAAGTAGACATCTTATGTGGTTGCTAATCACTCACCTCCGACGACGAGGAGCACGGGCGCGCTGCGTGTGGGGGCGTGGCCTAGAGCGAAGTCGGCGGCGGCGCCCCAGCGACAACTGCGGCGCGGCTGCGACGGCAGTCGGCGCGTCACTGCGCCGTCCGCGCGCGCGGCGCACGCGCAGCGCGGGCTTCCGGTCACGGCTCTGCGCGGCTCCCTCCCCTCCCCCTGCCTCTCCTCCCCGCCTCGCCGCGTCTCTTGCGCAACGCTCTATTTACCCCGGGCGGGCGGGCGACGACGAAGAGACCCGCCCGCAGTGTGGGAGCGGCGCGGCGCCGGGCGGGCCGGGCCGGGCGGGGCGTGGGCTGGGGCGCGGAGGGCGCCGTGAATGGTTCGGCTTCCCTTCCGCGCCCGGCACAGCCGCGCCGCTTCCGGTTTGCGCCGGGGTAGCACGTGGGGCGCCAGGATGAGCGACGCCCGTTCGTCCGCCCCGCCGCTGCAACGGGCCAGCGCGGCGCGTGCACGATCGCCTGGAGCATAACATCGGAATTATGTAAAAAAAAACATGAGCGTGGCTAATGTGCCGGAGGTAATTACACGCTGTATGACAAAATACTTGAATCATTATCGATAGAGGTGATGGGTTAATATATTTTTAAATAATTGAATGTCGCACTTTCAAAACAGATATGTTCCTCTTTATTATCAAATACCAGTTCAGTTCGTTAAGTGCGCTATTAAAATCGTTTATTAGCTTGTAAAATAAATGTTGTATAATATGTGATGTTTCCTATATTTAATTGTATTAAAATAATAAAAGTAGCTTTCAGTATTTCCGAGGGCAAATGAGGTAACGGTGATCATTAAGATTTGTTTAAAAAGTTATTAAAATAATTCTTCTGAATGGTTTAAGTCGTGCTCTTGTACATGCTCTTTCGCGTTTATCGTAATTTGCTTACCATAATGGAGAATTCTAAAAGCTTTTTTTAAAAGATGTATATACGAAACCAACTATCTTTTCACCGAATCCGCCTCAGCGATTTCAACCTGCAACACTCCAGCATCCCCTTCCTGAAGATTGTTTACCCTCTATAAGAAGGCTGCGATCTGGAAGTATGCGAAATGACACTTTCGCAGGGGCTGAATGCGCCATGCAAGCGCAGTGTGGACACCCCTGCCGTAAAATATTGACCTTAGCACCTCTGTTTGCCCACATGATCCTATTTGATTTAGATATGATATATCAGTAGCACCGCAGCTTGTCTCATTTGGGTAGCCATGAGCTCTAGCACAGTGTCTTATCGCGGACGCAGGTAGGGAAAAAAGCAGATTTGGAGCTGTGAAACGAATACAGGGCAGAAGAAAAAAGGAGCTGAGAAAAATGTTGTAACGGGGGAATGAGGAGCAGTGGACTGGGTGTGAGCATTGCCTCGTATCGTGATCCAGCAGATAGTTTGAGAGTACCGACGTCTGTCATTGACTATTCCATTCCTGAAATTAAAATCAATATCGCTGAACTATACATCGTAATGCATCAATCAAGAGGGTGTGTCCCTCCCCCTCAAAAAGAGCCTTTTTTTTACCACCGCCTCCCTACTACTGTCAGTGTGTCCACTTGGGCCGCTTTCCAATATAAGGTATGATTGGTAGCTTCTGAATAATGTGCTTCTTTCAGTAAAATATTTTTGTGAAATTGAAATAAGTATATAAAAATGGGATTGGCAACCGAGTGAGCCAGTTAGAATGAGAGACTAATGAATGCGACATCGATAACGAAGCATCGATGTTCAATAATTATAAAAATATATGTTTATAACACATCGATGATTTTAAAACATTTATATTTTGGAGCTCTTTGAGAAACTTCCAACATTAAATTCCGTGCGCTACTAAATTTAATTTGTAGTTTGCGTATTATATTAATTTATAATTAAAATTTAATTGAAAAACTGAAAAACCGAATCGTCTCTCGTGTTCATGAAATCCAAAATCGAGGTCAAATGAAGAAGTATCAGGTCCTCAGGGTCATCTCGTCTGCTCGATGAAGGTAGAACCAACCAGCGTTCGTTGGTGGTAAACACAAACTGACAGTGGTACGATCATTAGTTATTTCATTTTTTTCTTTAAATGTAATTAGAGGAATTTTCATCCACGAACAAAACATTAGAAAACGTAAACATGAATTAGAAAACATTGATGTTGATAAAACATCGTGTCGATACATCGATGTTTCGGAAGCATAGTACGCTTACAACAGACTTGTCTGAACAGTGATGAAAGAGATCGTGGCCGAAAGGAAGTCAGAAAAGGCAACTCCGTAGCGTAAGGTGGTGCAAGCGGGGGGTATGGAGAGTGAGCTGGCCGGAGCTGGGCTGAGGAACGGCACGCGCGCGGCGCGGCGCGGCGACCGCCCGCCCGGCAGCTGGGCCAATTGCCGCGAGGGCCAAGGCGCCGTGCCCTCCGCGCCGTGCCGTGGAATGCGCCGTTGTCCCAGGCGCCGCGCCCCGCTGTCCTCACTTAACGAAGAGCCGCTGTGGCGCCGACGCCCGGCGACAGCGGAGCACTCGCGCCTTCGCAGTAATTTTACAACGCTACTACTAAACATGAATTGCTAATACGACACATTTGCACATTAAGATGTGACAGCATACGCTTAGGTGGCTCAGGGCTTCAATTGATGTTCGGCGCGTAGCAATATTTTCGAAATTAAGTATATAGGAAAGTCGAATTCACAAAATGTCTGGAATTTGAATTAAAGCAGCTGGCTGCTCTATTCTGTAGTTTTCGCGGTTTCCTCCTGTCAAAACGCAGGCGAATGCCGGAGCAGAACTCTAACAAAAACGACATGTGTACCGAGCGATCTTTCTTTTTTCTTCCTTGCTCTTCACCCTTTCCTTTCTGTTCCTCACCCTCACACACGCGTCACTCACATGCACGACACTACCACACATGCCGAAAGACCAATCAGAGAGCTGTTAGAGCATGTCCCGACTGGTGGGACCTATTAGGGAATACCCCGCAAGCCGATGTGTAGGTCAGCGCCGGACCTCACCATCCAACGGCCGAGGATCACATGATAAAAAGTGCACTACATTTACTGGATCTTAGCAGTTAATGACCTTATTGTGGATCACTTAATCTGCCAACAAAAAAGAAAAGATGCACACTTATTAACACTGTGTGGTCTGGAAACATTCAGTTGTTAATGTAATCAAAACGCACCTGTTGATCAGATGACGCATCGTTCGCGTCTACGCAGTCGCGCATTAACTTCGGTGGGTGACGTAAACTCATCAGTTTTCCTTCTGGCCTCAAAATGGCATGGAAAATGAGACCTTGAGAGTTGCCTTTCGTGAAGATGCTACTCTTACACGAACATTATAAAAACATGCGTTCCTTTAAGTTTCTCCTCGGGAAATTGACGTCTACTGTCGTACGATATTCCTTCAATAGGAATGTCTTCAAAAAAAAGAAAACATGTTGTGTTTTCCTACCGCCTGCTGTATTGTTGCCCCGAAATGTTTTTTTTCCTCGAAGGTCGTTCGCCCGTCCCCAGGAACAGAGGCGACCTGTGAGCGTTATCTTGTGGCGTGCCGGGCGAAGGCACGCGTGAATCACGGGTGGGCGCCGCGGCGCGGCCGTGAGTCACGCGCTTCGCTCGCCGGGAGCCCGCGCGTTAATCCGCCGCTCATCCTACTTCGCCCGTGCCGGGGTGCGCGTTCTGGAAATGCGCTGCCACGCCAAGGGCTGTGGAGGAACTAGCTGTCCAGTGTGACCCCTACAGAAGAAGAATAATACGTATTTAGGGCACGATTTTCTTTTGGCCTATTCGACTTGTATCATTGTGACCTGGCGTCGTTCTGTGTCATTTTTGACTGCATGGAACTGTGAATGTAGATGCAGGAGGGTCTGTAGTAATTGTACTTGATTTTTTCTATGTTATGAGTTGCATAGTGAGTTCTTGGAACTTGAACTCTGTGCATGATTTATATCCTTAGAACGGAGGTTTTACACCATATAATAGCCCACTCAACCTCTCAGAGAGTCTGATTTTTTTACTTCAATTTTAAAATACATTAATTTAGTGAATATTCAAAATACTCTTAAATAAATTCACACATAAGGCACAGACAATACAATTGAAGAAATTCTGGCAATTTCGTCACTAAATTATGTATCGTCTTTGTATTTATTGCATTTTAAGGTCGAATTAACATGTATAGGGAATGTTTGTTGCGTGTAAGGGAGACATGTGTCAGCATTGACGCACTCATTAGCTTACTGTCCTGCATATGCTTTTTCTTCTGCATACAGCTGTAGCAGACAGAGATCATTCATTTTAGAAATCTACAGCTTCATTTTTGCCCCGGCAGGAATTGAACCGGGCGCTGTCTCGCAGAAAGCAGACACGCTGTTCTTGAGGGGAAATTCCTTTTCATAAGGCAATGGCTTAGATATAAAATGTAGTACATACCACGAATCTGGGCTAAAGTGCCGTCGCAGGAAATACATATGTAAATGTAATTAGAGTATCACACTTTATGTAACGTCTGTGGAGAAACGACCGTAGAATAGTACGAGTTCTCGAAATTATTTTCAGATTCGGGAATATTCCTAGTAACCTGTAAATTATCACAAGTACATTGATCTCACTCAAACGCTGCTACGTCTCGTACCATGTGCAGACCCAAACATTGAGCACTTGTCTCTACAGTAGAAAAATATTCTTAAAAATGAAGAATTTTTTCGATTTCAGTTCGTTTTTGATGTGTTTTGTGGAGCATTGGAGACGAAAGAGAGGTATTAACTATAGAATATTAGAGGTTTTAATTTCTTTCCACCCAATATACGTGGGTGTCTTATTTTTCTTCTCGCCTCAAATGCTATCCGTGGATGTCTGTTATCTGCGATAAACGAATGAATAAGGAAACCTTTGAATGATCTTGGCTGTCCGGGTGACGCTGCGTCGAAGGCGTGGTGCCTAACGGCTGCACTACGCAAACATGGTTTACTCTTTTCCGGATATCTCCTTCTCTCTCGTGTCGTCGCGAGCAGGATCGTTAAGTGAATTGGCGGACACCCTTAACAACCGCCAACTAGCGAGAACAACCCAAAAAATTATTTCAGACAGAGAAAACAAACCATTTAATGTCTCACAAACAATCGAAACCTCGTTCTTGAAATATCACGCCTCAAAATATCTACACAACATGACAATACAATATTTTTTGCTTTAAATGTCATGAGGGAGAACATGAAATTTCAACTTCGCCAATATATAATGATCCGTTTGCAGAGGAAGATGCTGTTTTCCATAGACGTATTAACAGAGCATGGCGAATGAGTTTTCCCAGTTCGTTCATTTCACTAAGAAAGCAATTTTATAGATTTAAAATCAAACTGATCCATGCAAAGTAACATACATGACAACCGACTCTGGTGATAACTACTATCATTGCAAATACAAGACAACTAACCGCTTAGCAAGCATTGCATGGGGAGGAGGGCCCAAGGCAACAAACAGGCTGCAGCGAGCAGCAACTGCGCGGGGCCGAGCGCGCTGCGCGGCGCCTCTTGACTTCTCCGTCGACCCATCCGTCCGCCGTCTCATAAAAGAGGCTCCAAAAATAAACGCGGGCGTCGAGGCGGAGGGCGGGGAGGGCGGGGGCGGGAACGTGCGTGCGCACGCGTGACAAGAGCGGCTTTCACGGCGTTCGCGCCCCCCTTTGACTGCAAGGGGCGCGCGCGCGGGCGTGCAGCGCACCGCCTGTGCAGCCTCCTGGATGAGCACGAGACGCCACGCCGCCTCCGCGCACGGGTCTTTCGCCTGCGTTCGTCTCTCGTCTACTGCACCGCACGCTGCAGGCGCCGCCAGGCCCCCGTTAACAGGCGAGCGCCGCTCATTCGTTTTTACGCTGAACGGCTCCCTGGAAATATAAAGGCTTCCGCCCTCCGCCCTCCCGCCGCCCGTGCACTTCGTATTCTTAGAAGCTGCAGGGATTCGCTGGCGGAGATAAACGAGGGATACTTTTATCCTGAAATGCCGATGCTTTCGCCGCTGTTTTCTTTCAAGATAGCACAGATTTCCATACTAAATGCAAAGCTCGGGTCGGTTTTCTCAAGTATCAAAACAAGGTCAGTGAATATTATCAATCGCGCATTCTTGAAGTCAACTTTTGAGAATGATATCAATATGTGGGAAAGCTGCTGTCCGTGATATCGGCGCTTCATTTTACTTTTCTGAATGCCATCGCAAATATCTCGAAAATGACAATGCCATACACTTACAGAAATGCTGCTGATTAGAGCGCTGAAAAATTCCTAAAGAAAGGAAGTTATAACAAGCAAGGAAGGATTAAAGGAGCAATCCAAACACAGGAACTAGACATGACACTTTAATGATATTGATAAAAATTTTATGACGAAATATCGTGAATAAAAGTTCACTGAAATGGTCAATTAAAAATATTAAGATAATTGAAAATACCTGAAAACCAGGCGAGAAACACATAAAATACATAAATGTGAAAAACAGTTAAAAGATGTAACTATCTTCAGAATGCCTGTCCGAAAGACGAGAGTGATGAATTGCCTCGCCATGCCAGAGAGCACAGGGGCGAAGAGATTGATGAAGAAAATCGCGAGCGCGTGACGGCGCTGGCACACAAACGGTACCGTCTCCAGCGGTTCCTCCCTTCGCCACAAGGCAGCGCGTCGTGCGCAGGACTCCCAGCGAAACGGCTGGTGGCGCAAGGCGGAGCGAGGCGGAGCGAGGCGGCGGGGCTGACGTTCTTCTCGCGCAGCCGTAAAAAGCTCCGACAAACAGCGACTGCAGCGCAGACAGAACGCGTGACTCCACCGCACCCGCCTCGCCCTACTGGACCCGCCCGCCTCGCCTCGCGTGTCTTGCCCTCCCCGCCCACTTAGCCCCTCCTCGTCTCGCCCCGTTTCACCCTGTCCCCTGCCAGCCCCACCTCGCCTCACCTCTTCCCGCACGCCTGATTTATTAAACCGTGCTGCCCGCGCACCCACCTTCGCAGCTCGCCCCGCCTGCCCCGCCCGCGCCGCTCGTCCCGCTATTTCCGCCTAAACCGGCCTGCTCCTGAATTAATCAACCAAAGATAACATTTTTTTACTTGTCGAGGTTCACACCATCAGGCCTATTCGTCCGCCTGAACACGCAAATTTCCCTAAACTCCTTTCGCCACCTAGCAGAGAAAAAAGATATTACTCAGGTGACGAAACATGCGATTTAAATTTAGCTCAGAGGTTTCTTTTAGGCTTGATTTTTTTTACACGCAGTAAATCTACAACATGGGACGGACGGCTTTACTTCCCCTCCGAAGGAAAGATTAAGAAGGATTTTTTTGCCCCTTGGAACCCGCGAACTCGGATTAAGCAATGCGTTAATAACAGTTACACCAGCGAAGCCGCTCCTCCCACGCAAACGTCTTCGCAGCCCTCCGAAGTCAATTGAGCAATCGCTTAACGTTTTGTAATGTCTTCATTTTATTGAAAAAATGTATCCTATGAAGCTGTAATGATCACTCTTCCTATCGCCAATGCCAAGCGCCGTGGAGCCTTCCTTGGGTGTTAATCGTTCAATGCTATTGTTTGGCATGATGGAAAGGGATCCGAGACTTGAATTGAATTGAATCAATGCCTTATTTTACGTGGCGAGACTCGGGCGATGAAGCCCGCTCTTCCGTCTGACCACGCAAATTTCGCTACGCTCCTTTCACCAACTAGCAGAGAAAGGAGGTATTTCTTGGGCGAGAAACAGGCGATTTTCAATTTAGCTCAGAGGCGTCATTTAGACTTGAGGGTCTTTTACATGCAAGTAAATCTACTAACATGGGACAGACGGCTTTACTTCCCCTCCGAAGGAAGACGTACGAAGGATTTTTTCGCCCTTAAAATCCACGGCTTCGATCGGGTTTGAACTTGGTATCCCCTTTCCAAGTCTTTTAAACAGAAAGCACATTTCCAAGTGGGCATATTTTGACAATTAGCAACAATACAAGATAAACTGGACTAGATATTCTTTATTTATTCTCCACAATCTATAATACGAACGGTTGTACCTCATAAATAATTATGTCAATGCTGATTCTCAGTATGTTTACAAAAGTGTCTATATATTATCGCAATATTTCTCTGAAATACCCAAGGACGTTCAGATGATTAGTTTTCTCGAAAATTCGGTAAAAACAGCGTATTTTCAGAAGCGAAATTCAAGCCATCATGTTTTCTGGTTCGCGTGAGCAATTAATTTTTTATTTGAATATAGTTGATGAGACCGGGCTAAATCCAGAAGCTGGGAACACAAAGTAACAATCTTCTCAAAACATTATTTTAATAGTCAAGTTTACCCAGCAACTGGGGGAATGCCCACAACTTTAGAAGTACTACGCCAACTAACAGATCATCTTTCACATTCACAATATACTATTAACAATTACAATCATACAATTCAGTCAATTGTGAAAAGAAAAAAAAAAGCTGTGGAAGACACTTGAATCAAAACTTTTATTCAAATTACCGAAGAATGTGTAATTGAATCCTTTTAATTCCATTCATGGCACAACTGTCCACACAAAGCATTTATAAGGGTAATATTACGTCCTTGCAGAACGCCCCGAAATCAAATAACACAAACTGTGAAACGAACTTATTCGAATCACATGGTCATTCTTGAAATTTGTAACTCATTACCCCAAAATGATACTGCTTTCAATACAACCAGGAAGATCTTTACATCTGAATTTAGATTATCTGCAGATATTTACAATACAAAATAAATCTTCCAAATTACCGTTTTCTCACGTAGACGATGGAATTGTCTAATTATAAAACAATATTGTGCCGTATATTTCGATGTTCTATACATAAATACAAGTAAAAAATGAATATATCAACCTGATTACATGCAAGTTCTACATTAACCCTGTAAAACACTCAATAAATTGAAGGGAAGAAGCATTTTCAAAAACGGCATCCCTTTAGATTGAAACTAGTGATTTATATGATTTCACTGACAACTTTCGCAAACTTTGTTCAGTAGGACTATCTAAAAACTAGAAAAGATTTAATGGCATGTCCATAACCTTCAAAATAACAACAAAAATAATTTCCGTTTCATTAAATATCAATAAACACTGCAAAAACTGTTAATATATTAGAAAAAACCTGTCTTTCCATGTTCTAATTGTAAAGCAAACTTCATTCAATGGGTAGAGAACGACTGTATATCGTATTCCATAATATTAACGAACTATTTACAATAGAGTCGCGGCAATCCGGGTCACCGAACAAGCTCCGATAATCAAGAACTGGCTCTTGTCCGCTTGGCCACACGCTGCTGAAGGTCAGCGGTCGGTGCCAGTGTCAGTCTGCGCCACTGTTGTGAGCGGTTCGCGCTTATGTCATTTTAATAGTAACTGTACTTTAAATTTGCCTTCGCTAGTCATTGTAGTTGAAAATTTCGTGATGTATTTTCCTGTTCTTTTCTCTCGTGTATTTCGAGTTTTTGGAATCTAACGTACCATCAGTGCCAATTACCCCGGTTTAACGCGACTCTACTGTGCCAACTTGCACCGAGAGCCCGTTCCTTCTACTGGTAGCATGCAAAGCAAGAAGCGGAAGGGTACTCACCGGCGAAGGGCGCATCGCCGAAGAACTCCTCGACGTTGGTTGTCGTGCAGACGCTCTTGTCGGAGAGCGCGAGACGAGGAGGAGAGCGAGCCGAGACGCGTCCAGCGACGGAACAGCAAGCAGTCCTCCTCCGTTCCGTCTCGATGTCCCGCGAAGCGCCGCTTGTACTCCTGCGAGGCGGGCGACGAGGGCGTTGACGAGGGCGGCACGGGGACGCGCGCGGCGGCGGCGCAGGCGGGGCGGACGGGGGCGGGGCGGGGCCGCGCGCCGGCGCCAGGCACACGAGCGCCAGCAGCTCCGAGCAGCTGGGGGCCCGAGGGATCAGCATGGCCAGGGGAAGCTTATGGAGAAGGGAACGCTGACTTGAGAGTGTGTGCGTGCTAATGCACCGGTTAGTTCTTCAAATCAATGCTCACAGCACTGCCAGATAGTTTACACAACTATATTCACTCACCAAATTATTACGTATGTTACACAAGTATCTACTTCACCAAGTTGTTCTTAAACGATGATGTCAACGACGCTGACGCAAGTTCTGTTTTCTATTAAGTAGACAACGTTAAACACTTCAAGTTAGAGCCAGTATGTAAATACACTGGCAATAATCTCTTCAGAATCGAACGTAAATTGTCTTCTCTCAGAACACACACAACGATCACAATGAAGGACTCAAGAAACTCTAGAAACCTTTACAAATCTCTTGAAATCCATTCTTGAAAAGACTATATACGAATATCAAAGTAGCTCGAGCTGAATCAATACGTAAATGGAAGAATGTTATTCCATATTTTAAATAATTGACATGCACTGCACTGCACGTGGTTTCATAATCGTACGTTTCCGCACGGTTTTCGATTGGTAAGGACAATATGATTCGATTTTAAACACAGACCATACGGCAAACCAAAAAACGTTGTGCCCAAGGGATGTAGAATAGAGAAATCAGAGAGTGGAACAGACACGCACAAAGGCGTGTTAATGTCTTGAGTGGGCGCACGTCCTCGCTGGCAGGATCCGTGGAAAACGCAACGTCCGTGACATGCCTCGAAGTCACACGAAAGACGAAAAACGCTGACAGCCAAGCAACAGCATGCACACGAGAGCTTTAGTCGAACAGTGGATGCTGGTTCACATATTCAGAAGACGATCCAAAGGTACAGTCGACGAGTTTCCGAGAAATTGAATACTGAAGACGATGCCAGAAATTCTACCAATGCCAAGAGTTCGTTGAAGAAGTTCCACAATTTCGTGCTAAGCGCACGATCTTCACAAAACTAATTTCGAACACTGAGCGTACAAATGATCGACAGTAAAATGAAGTTCCGAGGTACAAAAGTACTCCTTCATTAATCGCTATAGTCGTAACCAATACAAGTGGATTTGATTAACGAATTTTCTTCGCACTTCAACCCGGAGACGTCTTGAGGGGTTCCAGGGAAGTCGTCCTCCATCATCACCAGCCGAAGCAGTTCATCGCGGAGGCAAGTGACCTGTGGAAGTTAAAGAGCAGAGTCTGAGAACCTCGAGAGCAGTCGGCCCGAGCGCAGCGGGGAGCGGCGGCGGCTGCGGCTGCGGGGGCGGAGTCAAAGCGGCGCGGGTCGGGGAGGCCCCGTTGCGAGGCGGGGGCGGACTGCAGACGCTTTTCCGGCGAAGCGCCCCTGCCCCTCGACGACGAGCAGGCTATCGACCAAGCAGGGCGCCGCGCGGTTTCCTAGAAGCAAGAGTTACTCAACGATTCGACTCACTAAACGCGACGAAGGAAGCCAAGCACCCGAAATGTCGATCCGCGCAAGGTCCTCTTGTTCCATTATCGAGTTCTAGTTTAGCAGCTTGTCATACCTAGGTCTGTTTTTCAAGTAATTACTTTGCAAGGACTGGTTATAATAAACATGGCGCCATGGGGAAACAAAGATCATTCGGTCACATCACTCTGTTAAAAGGAAAAAAGAAACTGAAATTAGCATAAGCCCTACCGATGTAACAATTAAAACTTGTCTGACAATTATATTTTAATTTTTTCCACTCCCATTCGTAGGCGAAGAGAAAAACAATGACAACTTCTACCAAGGATTATGATGTTAGAAACACAAGTCCCAATAATTACATCACTACACTATAGCAGTACCCTTGAAACCTGTGAACAAAAAGTATTCGATAACATTCTTTATATTAATCGCTTTATAATTTATACAAACAGTTATATTTTATTTATGAATATTTATAATGCACTTAAAGTAGGTCGGACAAAAAAGATTTCCTAAAGATCTTTTATTAAGGAAACCCTTGTATGTTCGTGAAGCCCATGAAATCAACTGGAGACATTTCAGTTTCTAGGCTTTCGGAACAACACACCTGACACAACAGTAGGTCAAATTACCAACTTCTTCGGGAATTGCAAGTGTAATGTTCCTTAGTGAGTGGATAGATAGACGACCCGTGCGAATCTTATCATGCCTCTCGCAACAACGGTGGGACATGAAATTCGAGGCATCATCGCAATAATATTGGCTGCTCGTTCATGACTTCTAGACCCCTAAGATCTCCAACAACAACAACAAAAGTAATAATTATGATTATGATTATAATAATAATAATAATAATAATAATAATAATAATAGGAGTAGTAAAATAAATCCTTCCATATCTTGGTTCGCAATCGGAATTTCGGATACTCTGTGAATTTAGCTTCATTTCATCCGCGACACTTCGCGTTTCCAGATACAGAATAACCTTCTGGAAGGTAGAATTACTCCTTTGGAGAGAATAAAGAAAAAAACAATTCGTCGCTTTTAAACTACTTTGAATGTCCAATCGTCTGCCAATTGCACCTGAATGCATCGAGAGACGTAAGTAGAGAATCGAGCGACGGTCTGACGCGACGCGTTGGCACAAGGACTTCCGCGAAGTCCCCGCCCTCGCGCGGCGACGCGTCGCTCCCGGGGAATTTCCGGGCGGGGCACAGCCACGCGGGCGCGGCGGTGAGTTGGGGGGTCCTGGGCGCTGCCGATATTAAAACGCAGCGGAAGTTCCTCGCATCGCTCTTTCTATGGACCGAATCGAGCCCGGGTCCTTGCCCACGCACCTCACAGCATTGCTCGCAGTTGGCGTATCCCTACAGTTCTGCCTCGCCCCGATCTGATCGAGTCCCATCCACTTCTCTTCGCGTCCTGTTTTCCAGAGAAGCTCTGCCGTTCAATTAGGCGCTCCTTGTCCCTCCTACGCGCATAGCCTCCGTAGACCACCAACATGTATCAGTACAGCACAATCCACTATGTCCCACAACGCTACATTAGCCCTTTATTCCAAAGCACTGTCAGCTTATCAACTTCCTTTTGCAACTAAAAGCCCATCGAAAGACTCCGTAATCTCGGGGAGCATCTATCCCTCATTTTCATTCCGATCCGCACTAATTTCTTATCAACGCAACTCATCCACCCTGCTATGCCAACAACACGATTCAACAAACTGCGACGAATCGCGCTGTTTCAGGTGGACCCCTCGCCCCTCCTCCGCCCTTTTGCGTCCCATCACCCGGCGCATGGCGGTGCGGGGCGACGCGGGGCGGCGGGTTGACGCGTTGCGGCCACGAAGCCGCATTCTTCGGCTGTGGCATTTTCGGCCGCCCCGCCCCGCTGCCCCCTGCCGCCCCGCGCTCCCCGGTTCCGTTCCGCGCCGGCAGCCGCCCGCCCCCCGGCTTAATCAGAACGCAAATGGCCCGTTTGTTCGATTCCGGGACAAGCCACGAACCGCAAACAAATATCCGTGACGTAATGAACTATTCGCCGCGCGGGGCAGGCGGGGGGGGGGGGAGGAGGCGCAGGGGCGGCGGCGGCAAAATCCGCCACCTGTTTGCGGCGGCGGCCGCGAGGCGGCGTGATGTTTGATGGTGGCGGCAGACAGCTAAAAGAAATTTCACATTTTGAATTAATATCGCATTTGACTCTAATTCACGCCTAGTTGTTGACAAAGTCAGTTACAGGTTAACGACCAAGATGGGAAATAATGTAGCACCTGCGACTGATCTCGACAGACTTCAATTCACATCTTGTTGATAACGACAGTTACGCGTAAACGACGAAGCTGGGAAATAATGTAGCACCTGCGACTAACCTGGACAGACT